TGTGTTGGTAATCATTCATAAAAAGTGCAGTCTTGATGTTGCAGTGCCCAGAGGAAATAAAAACAGATATTTGTCAGAGTATAACTGGAGCAGTGGTGCAGAGCAGCAGGCCTCATACTGTCAGTGTATAAAGAAACGAAAGTTCAGTGACTTGAAAATGGATTTGCCATTGTTGTATGTGAATTGTCTGTCATATAAAACCTGAGTGTTCTTTAGAAGCGTTATATTGTGACCCGTAGTAAAACTTCTCGCCCTCATAAAACACAGTTCACCTCAGGAGAGAGTATCTCAGATCAGCGATAAAGCGCACGATCACAGGGCGGAAACTCTTACTGTACTAGGAACACTTATTTCTTTATAGGCTATAAATTATTGGTACTTTATTTAGGGTGTGTTGTTGTAGCTGTGTCGTTAATTATATTGGTTGGACTCTTGGTTGATCAGATAAAGATTCTCCTTGTGTGGAAAACTTTTCTGAAAAGAAGCTTAAAGAAGTGTGTGAGATTTAGGGGGATTTAGTGACATCTAGTGGTGAGGACTGAAGATTGCAACCAGCTGAAACTTCTCCCAGTGAGAATTCCTGCCGTGTTTATTGTTCAGGAGGTTTTCACCAAGAGACAAATTACTTGCAGAGGTCTCTTCCTGTGATTAAAACCAGTAAAAACACTGACACAGTTTCACATCACAAATTAGTGTTTTCCAGATGATGCTCGGCATGACAGGGACAAGCCACCAGCCCGGAGGTTTTTACCAGGAGCAGAATTATCTGCAGAGGTCTCTTCCTCTCTAAAACACACAGAACCGGTAATTAAAACTGGTAAAAACACTGAATAAATCTCTTTGATTTTAGAAATCAGTGTTTCTGCAGTGCTGTTTGGCTCGTCACAGAGGGGCTGCTAACTACGGTGGCCAACACGAAAATGCGAATGTCCCTTTCTAGAGCCAGTGTTTGGTTTGTCCCTTCTGGGCTACTGTAGAAACACGGAGTTGCAACCAGCTCCTCCGAGAATCTCCTCTCCTCCTCTCTTAATGTGGTGGAGTGGTTTGCATTTCCCCGTGAACCTGGGAGCTGCTAATAGCCTCTGGTATGGTCTCCCAAGGTAAATTGGTCCCAGGGGAGGGGCCAGACTAAGAGCGATTCAAGAAGACCTTAATGAAAAGGCATATTTGGACTCTGAGCATCTCGTCTGGTACAATATAATATGTGATTGTAAATATCTGTGTCTGAATGAAAGGTTTTCATTGACCTACTTACAGAGCGAGATGTGAGCGTTTGATAGTGAAATTTCTCACCCTCATAAAATACAGTTCAGCTCAAGAGAGTCTCTCAGATCTGTGATAAAGCACACGTACACAGGGCGGCAGACCTGAGCTGTGACTACACTGACTGTGCCAAGAATAGATAATTCTTTATGGGTTATTTATTACTCTGATTGTCCATTGTTGGTTATTAACCTGGTTGGACTCTTCATTAGTGAGATATAACTTTTCCTCATCTGGGAACACTTAAAACAGGGTAGCACCCTAAGTTTAAGAGGCTTGAAGCCAATGAAAGTTTCATTTTGCAAGTCCACTTTTCTTATCATGCACACAATTCTAGAGACGCAATGAAAATCTGAGGCCTCTGGCACGCTTTTAAAGTGCTCATTAAATATCTATGAAAAAGAAAATCATGCAAATAAAAGCAAGATCTAAATGTCAGACATGAATAACAGAAGTTAAAGCAAAAATATAAACACTAATAAAAAATGCGTAATATAAATGTGTGTAGTAAACATGATTGATTATTTGATGCGTCTGTGATTCAGCTGCAAACACGACTGATTTACACATCACAGCTGATCGCTGAGCTACTTTTACTCTTTTCAAACACAAAGTGTCACAGTGCTGACAGCAAATCTCTGCACCGTGTTATTTTTGTACAACAACAGTCACGTCCTTGGGCCTTTTTTTATTTCTGCATGTTTGATGTGATGTCAGCTGAAGTGAGACGTGAATTTAAAAAGATAACATGTTAACCTTTAAAACCCCTGATTTCTTCCACTTAAAAATCTCATTTCAATCCAATTTAAACTCACCATATCTTTCATACAGCATTACATTAATGTTAGCAGGTCATTATAGCGACTTGAACCCTGACAGGGCGGCACAGGTTTTGAACACAGACTATACAGAAATGAAGCCAAAGTATCCCGGATACGGCCGCTGCCTCTTGAGCTGATGACGTCATTTGGAGCCATGGACTGTGCAGTAGCAATGTCCCCAAGATCGAGTTCCTGCCAATACACCTTTACAACCAGTCATGAACAGTGCCATTGATCACGAGCACACCGATTGACACGCAGAGCTGTCAATCACGAGGTCAAACCCCATTTTTATGGCCTAATATAACTGGTTTATCAAAGATTACTGCAAAGCAGCACAGTACATAAAATGAGCACATCAATAATCAGATAGGTCGGACCACCATGTTTAAATATATACCCTTAATGTTACAGCTGAAAATGACAACAGAAATAAAAAACAAGTTTGCCCATGTTACGTATCTCTGCAGCTGAAATCAAATGCCAATTGTCTACCCGTAAGTGATTGCTGTTGTTGGTGTGACGTCACAGTGTTTCAGTCTACAAGTATCTGCTCCACCTGAAATATTGAAGCATGATGTCATAGTGGGCCTGTGACCTCTAATATTAGAGAATATTCTTGATATGTTGTGCATGTTCATACACATTTCTGCAGAATTCAGCTCAACATATTTTGTGTCTTTGGAAAAATTTAGTCTTTAGTAAACCTTGAATTTGTAGAGATGACCCACAGTTGACTCTGTCAGAGTTTAAGAGGTTAAGCTGTTATATTGATCATCTTGACAAGCAAAATGTTTTGTTCAAGGACTCTAACCATGCACAGAAGGACACTTTTCAGTATCAAAACCAGGACTTTGCAGTTTGCCATGTTTTTTAAGGTCAGATAGCAGCTGCAAATGTTGCAGACACATCGCTGAACATAAGATGAACAAATAAAATTTGGCTTTATGTTTGTGTGTTCCGGAAAGAATCTCCAATAAAATGTCATTAAATGACTCGACAAGCCGAACGCTAACACGAGCCAGCACAGAAGTACGAGACTGACCCCAGAAAGCCTGAGCTGTTTGCCTGCAGCTCCATCACACAGTGATCCACTGTGAGACACACAAAGGCATCACTACACACAGCCTGTCTTTGTTTGTTTCAGGGGAAGCTGAAGTTTAATGGGGTCTGAAACAAATTTACTTGTCAAGCTAAATGTCAATGACGTTACGCTAGACAGTATATGCAGACAGATTTGTTCCTCCACACTGCGAAGTGACAGTTGCTAGAAAGCAAGAGTTGGTTCTTAGAAACACCAGACACGGCTGTGACACAGAGCTCAACATGTAATCTGCATGTTTATGGCGGCCGGTTGGAGTAACCTTGATCTCTTTGTCCTCCCCCCCCCCGCATCGGTAAATCACTTGTGTGGTTGAGAAACAGAGCAATAGTCCAGACAGACAGACAGACAGACAGCACATGAACTGAGGACACTCTTATCGCGCTCGATGACTCTGGATCTTTGAATTAGTCGTAAAATGTTGCACAACGCTCATCATACTGGGCTGTTACTACACAGCTCTTTGTAAACTGTTCACAGTCACTCTGACTAAGCACAGTGAAGGTCAGCTAGAGGTCGACTAATGTGTGAAGAATATGTTCACCTTGAAGTAGTATTTATTGTCTTTAAAGTTTCGATTTACCTTGAAATGTGTCCTCAGCAGGTTGGGAGCAGCTCTCACTGACACTTAGTGGTTCCCAGCGGGTTGGTCTCGGACCAAAAGTGGGTCACGAGTCCATCCTGAATGGAGCACAAGTGACTCGCAAACGTGTCAAGTCTGTAGAAAACGCGCTTTATTTTGAAGTACAGGGAATTTCCGGCACAGAGCTTTTATTTTTAAGTGTCGCTTCCTGCTGCAGAGTGAGTGACTAACAGATAGCTACCTGACAGAGACAGCAAAATGACGCTAATTGTAATAAACTGTGTGGACCTTGAAGTAATGACTAAGGAGACATCTGGACCAGTCAGGAACCACTGCTGTAGACAACAAAAGGATATGAAACAGTTTCAGTGTCAGCAGCTCTGTAAGGATGGGTGGCTGTATGTATCACATATTTTAGTCCCTTCCGGCCTTGGCAGGCTTTTTAGGGATTGTCGCGGCCTAAAGTGATTTCATGGGAGCTTTTCTTAAAGATTGTGATGCATGTTGCAAAGTTTCTTTAAGGCAACAAAATTCAGGTGCAAGTTAAAATAGCAAAAATAGTGAGTCATTCATTCAGTTCAGGGATTTACCTTGCACGGTCTTGAGCAGTAAGTTGTTGTTGTTGGTAAATCTGAAACGTTTGTGTCGCACATGTCAAACAGGAACAAGGAAGTGAGCTTTGTGATCTTGTGCAGGGGACTGCTATGATGAGGGGAGCTATGATGATGAAAAGTTTTGGTGATTGGACTAAATGACAGGGTTGTGCACAGTTCACAGGGATTGGATGAATTTGCGTTAACTGTTGTAATCTCAACATCCTGGAAGAACTCGGGTGTACAATGCTGCCTTATAAGAACCACTTAAAAACACTTTGTGGAATTAAAAATAATAAGTGCCACCTGCCAACTGATTTGAATCAGAAAGGAACGTATGTCACTCTGTAACAATGATATCTTAACCTGGAAATCCAGATGCTCCGCCCCTGGCAAATTCAAATTTGCTCTGCACCGGAAATCTTTCTAGATTTGAGTCTGGATTTCCAGGCTAAAGATTTCTAACTTAAAAGCTGAGTATACCACCAGCCAAACTCTGATATTAACAGGTCTCTTTCTCCAGCAGTGTGACAGAGTTTGATAATGTGACACATACAGTGTGAGAAAGTGAACTTTTGAGTTACTTGTAAAACACCAAGTTTCCATATTTAGACAACTTTTTTGATGTTGTTCAACAGGGAAAGTCGTACCCGTTCAAAGGCTCCTTCCCTCCCATGTGGAACCCCATCGTCCTGTTGGACTTCAACAACCTGTGGAGGACGATGGACGAGATGGGCAAGGAGGTAAAGAAAGACTCACCATTGTTTTTTTTGTTTCTTTGCTCTCCACTCTGTGTGTCTCACCTCTGCTAAATGTCCTCGTCGTCCTCCTGGTGTGTTTCAGATTCCCAGAGAGGCTCCCTGGAGAGCTCCCCATGCCGAGGAGTGGGACAAGATGTCCATGCAGCAGCTCTTTGAGAAAATCTGCTGGACCAGGTAACAGAGAGTAGAATTACATAATTGATTCTGCCTAACAACAGTGAGACCAGTTGTGCAGGTCTTTTTATGTCTCTGAAGTTAGCACCATCATTTATTTCTTTTAAGATTATTTAACATTTTGGCATTTTCACCGGAGACTTGTCAGGGAAGAGGTGTTAAACGTGAGGGGTTTGACATGAACCATAGGTCCGCTGTCAGAATTGAACTGAGGACATGTAGTTACATTGTGATATATAGTATGCATCTAAACCACTGGACAGACAGTTTTTCCAAACGTACAAATTGAATGTAAACAGGAATGTAGTCAAAGTATGTCTATGCATGATAAGAAGTATTAATATATCTTTATACAGAGGTGTTAACAGCTTGTAAAACAGTTACAGCTCAGTACACACATGTAGAGAAATTCACTTCAGTCAAAGTTTAATACCTTGTACTTGTGTTTGAACAAATGTATTGAATGTCACACACAAAATCTCAAATAGTTGAGAGTTAATTACACAAAACTTGTGTTTAACTTTCAAACTACACAGAGAGACGTGACAAATGAATTCATGTCTGATTCTTAAAAAGTAGAAGAACATGTCATTTCTGAATTATCCCTTAAACACAGTGGAACTTTGTTAATAAAGCTTTTCTCCATTAAGAGAAATAAAATAAAAACTATGCAGGATCTCACGGATATATTTTGAACATTTACACAAACACATTTTTCAGTATGAAGTTCTAACTGTCGTCTCTTATTCCCAGCACTGTTCGTCGCTTCGCCACACTGTTTGTCAACGTGAACGTGACGTCTGAGCCCCACGAGGTGTCGGCTCTGTGGTTCCTCTGGTACGTGAAGCAGTGCGGAGGAACCATGAGGATCTTCTCCACCACAAATGGAGGACAGGTACGTCAGCCACATGTCTGGTTTTAACATCTACACTGAAGATTAAGGTAAGATACAGCGTCTGCAAAATGCCAGACATTATTAATTGATGTACACTGAACTTACAAACAGAACCCTCAGCATCATGACTCCAGTTAATCTCTATAGAACAATCAGCCTGAGGGACGCAGGACGGACGAGGCTCTCCAAGAAGTGATGCAGGGCAAAGTCTTGCTCACATTCACCTTAGTTTGCTGCTGAGAATAATCATGAGCTCCACAAAAGCTGTTTTCTTGGAGTGCCGGGGGAGCACATTCTGTTGTCGTACTTTCTAAAGCCCAGCAGCCCTGTTGCCATGGCCACTGAGGAAGGGGATTGTGTTTAGGTAAACAGAGGATGTTGTAGCCAGCTCTGTTGTCAGCTCCCTTTGCACTCAGTGGTGGAGAGAAAGTGAGAGCAATGACCTCAAGTAATATACTTAACTATAATTTTGAGGTACTTTACTGAGTTTTTCTGCAACATTATACCCCTGCTTCACATCTCAGAGGCAATTATTGTACTTTCTACTCAGATTTTTACTTATTTGATAACTTTACTTACATTGTAGATATAGATTATTGACACGAAATATAACTCAGCCAATACATTAGGATACATTATTATAGGTTGTGCTTTTCAAAGGTATATACACATTACACATTAACGCATCCATAACAGAAGCAGGCTGGAGTATCATGATGGAAGCTAATCAACGTACATATTTTAAAACCTAAAAATAGCTACCTGAATAAAATGATATCAGTTTAAAATATTCTAATTATAAGGTATACTTATGAATGAATGCTATATTAAGGTTATTTTCACTGCTTTACCTTGTTGTCAGACGGACCTTTCCGATTGGGAACTGAACCGAAACTGAAATCTGTCTATGCCCTCAACAATGGTATTGTTTTGCTCCAGTGTGTGATTTCAGACCACATCCTGGCATCACGGAATCAAAAGAGGCGTGACAGGCCTTACGTGTAATATAATAGCGTCAGCCTCTAGTGTGACACATAAAATACGTATCGGCAGTGCTTTATAAACAATAACAACGGCATAACATGACAATAACAATCATTTACTGTCCCTGTTACCTGTACTCGTCCTCTGCTTAGAGGGTAAGAAGCTCCCAAATCTCATTGCTTTGCCAATTTGTGGACTTTTTCGGCCGCTGTACTTCTTCTTTGAGTTAGACGCTAACTGCTATCAGCTGCTGAATCACACACATAACGCGTCGTCAAATTGTCACACCCGTCCTGCCAGCTGTCCCGTCTATACAGACATCATTTCAGCGCTGTTACTACCTCCTGAGGTGGATTTAAGGCGAGATGACTTTGCCCCATCATTACCTCCGCCAAGGAGGCTATGTTTTCGCCGCCGTTTGTCAGTTTGTTTGTCTGCAAAATAACTCAAAAAGTTCTGAACGGATTTTGATGAAATTTTCAGGAAAGGGAACAGATGATAATTTTGGTGGTGATCAGTTGAAGCAAAGTGGATAGAATAATAAAATGGCGGGAAATCCGAGCTGCTTGGCGGAGGTCTGCGCTCTCCGAGTGCTCTAGTTCCTAAATCTTATCTTACAGAACAGGCGGTTTAACAGTGCGATATTCCCGCCTTGAACAGGCAGTGTAAAAGAGGCTAATAACACAAACACACTGAACTGATCTAGGCAGCGATAGATCAGCAACCCCCGTGTTCTGCAAGGTAAAATTGCTGTTTTTGTCAAATGAGTCTGAAGAGGGCCATACAACAGCTTCAGTTCACTGTTGCAAAGGTTTTTTGACAGCAAGATAAAGCACTGAAAATGTTCCAAATATAGTTTACACTTGAACTGATATTGATTCTGTTAGGTGGCTAAAATATGTTTCACTGCTGTCCCCATCCACAGCAGTGCTCCATCATGGTACTCCGCCAGCTTCTCCAAACTGTGTGCTGATACTAATACACTTGAGTATGATTTTAAATGCAGGGCTTTTTAACGAGTATTTTACACTATAGTGTCACTGCTTTTACTTTAGTACAAGATCTTAATCGTTCCACCACTTGTTTATGGGTGCATGTTTGTGTCTGCGTACAGAGTATACACATAAACAAGAATTTGAGGAGGAGGAGGAGGAGGAGGAGAAAGTAATATAAGGTGTAGAGCAGTGGTTCCCAACTGGTTCAGTCACAGGGTCCAGATTTCCATTAGTTCAACGTCCACACAGTTTAATACATTTGGCACCGTACTTCCGTTCGGCCATGTCGTCAAGCTCGCTGGCTGTCTCTGTCAAGTAGCTGTCTGTTAGTCACTCAAAATAAAAACTTTGTGCTGGAAATTCACCGTACTTTTAAATAAAGTGTATTTGTTACAAACTTGTCACATTTCCTTGTCACTTGTGGTCCATTCTGTCCATTTTGGGCCACGACCCACCAGTTGGACACCGCTGGCTTGGAGTGTTGCATATGGAGGCAGATTCTGTGTTCTTCACTTCCAGAACAACTTCCCCCGTGAAACGGAAAAAATAAACTCTTCTTTAATCCAACGAGACAAACACAGACTCACCTCATTACACTGCCACTATCTATTTACGTTTAGCTCCGAATTTTCTGGCGACTGGTGGAGAAATTCATCTGAATGCCACGGTGGAATGCGCTCAATGTGTTTCTAATCAGGGAGGACAGAGATGTTGACACTAACCATATGGAAAAGGTCACTATCTATTTAATTTTTGTGTATCAGAGCTTTGGCAGCACTTCATCTCTCTCCATCCCCTCAGTCCTCTACATCATTCAGCGTTTTCTGGCCCGAGCTTTGCAAACACATTTTCCCTTTTGGTTTGGGATGTTGAAATTTATAGTGGAGGAGAGAGGGTGGATTGAGGATAACTGGGATGTAACACTGGGATAACTCAACAGATTGTATCAGCTTGTCTCCTAAATGAAGTTTTTATTACCCTGGCAGAGTGGAACTGTGAGCAGGATCAGACTGGATAAAAGCAATTTTACCCCGTATAATCAGAGTTTCTCTTGGAAGTAGAGCATAAAATAAACAAACAAGACTTGCTGCATCTGCACGTTGTGGTTCTGGTGACTGACCATGCTCTCTCCGTCTGCCTCTGCAGGAGAGGAAGTTTGTAGGCGGCTCCAGTCAGATCAGTGAGGGCATGGCCAGAGAGCTGGGAGACCGAGTGAAGCTGCAGTCTCCGGTCTACAGCATCGACCAGAGCGGAGACATGGTGGTGGTGGAGACGCTGGACAAACAGACCTACACCGTAAGTGTATCACAGCTGAGTCTGCTGCAGCCGCACAATGGTGGAGTTTAACTATGTTCACAGTACTCAAGTCAAGTGGAACTTTATTTGTAGAGCACATTAAATAATGATAATAATTAACTTTATTTATATGGCACCTTTCATACAAGCAAGTGCTTTACAATAAGGGCAGCATAAGCACTGAGTGCTTCACATGAAGATAGAATGAACATAAAACAGAACTGCTTCATAAAATCATAGAGTTGTAAAACTATAAATCATAAAATCAAGTAAAGTCTAAAGTGAACAGATACGTTTTTAGCTTTCTTTTAAAAATATTTAGCGAGCTAGCTTCCCTGATATCTATAGGTAGTGTGTTCCATAGCTTTGGGGCGTAATTGACAAAGGCTGCATCCCTGATCTTCTTCCAGTAAACCATGATCGCAGTGTTCTTGGAGGCAAATAGTTAACAAGGGAGTTAGCGATGTAGCTTGGTCCCAGCCAGTGTATGGCTTTGTATACAAGGAGGAGGAGCTTAAAATCAATTGTAAATGTAACAGGAAGTCAGTGCAGAGCAGCTCAGACCGGCCTGATGTGCTCTCTCCTCTTGGTTCTGGTTCATAGCAGAGCTGCAGAGTTTTGAACGAGCTGAAGTCTTTCAGTGGTGTTTTTGGGAGGCCAGCAAAAAGTGCATTACAGTGGTCGAGTCGTCTTGAAATAAAAGCATGAATCAATTTCTCTGCATCTTTTTCATTTAGAAATGGTCGTAGCTTAGCGATGTGTCTGAGGCGGAAAAATTATGTCTTCAGCACCTTGTTAATGTGGGACCTGAAGCTTAGATCTGAATCAAGGATCACACCAAGACTTGTTACCTCAGATTTAATCCAGGGAATTAAATTTGCCAGATTATTGAGCTGCATTTCTCTTTTAAAAACAATTGCAGTTGACCAAATTGCTGAACAGTTATAAAATCAATCGATTGTACACCAACGAAAAGAGGTGGGTCCTCAGTAGAGACTTAAAGGTTTCAAATTTCGGAGCGGTTTGTATTTGTATAGGTAAACTGTTCCAGAGTTTAGGTTCAGCTGCTGCAAAGGCTTAGTTGGTGCTGTTTCTGTGCCTACTTCTGGAAACATCCAGGAGCATCAGCTCACTCGACCTCAGGTCTCTAACTGGAGTATGAAGATAAAGCGGCAGCAGACTGTGTAAAACCTTAAAAACCAGCAATAACATCTTAAAATCAATCCTACATTGGACGGGAAGCCAGTGGAGGGAGGCCAGTGCTGGTGTTATGTGGTTTTCTTTTTCCACTTACAATTTTGTACTAACTGCAGACGGCGAAGTAGCAACTGATCTACACCCACATACAGAGAATTACAGTAATCTAGCCGAGAGGTAATAGAAGCATGAATGACTCTCTTGAGATCTTTGGGAGAGAGACAGGCCTGAGTATATTTTTATTAGAGAACCTTAACCTGAGGACTGCAGCCATGTTTGCTTTAGTTGTCATCTTATTGGTGTAATAACACATGCAGTATATAAACGGATATAATGTCGTTCTCAGAGACATAAAGACATGCATCAATTTAACTCTTCCACCATCAGTCTGAATCAGCAGTGTTGTTCTCTGCCGCCATCTACTGGCTGCTCGTCATCCTGCAGCCATGTGTCACGTGACACAGCTCACACTGCCCTGTCCTGTTTGTGTTTGTGTCCCTTCTCTGTTTCTTCACATGCGTCTCTGTCTTAGGCCAAGTACGTGATCGTGGCCACCCCTCCCGGTCTGAACCTGAAGATGCACTTTAACCCCGAGCTGCCGCCACTGAGGAACCAGCTGATCCACCGCGTCCCCATGGGCTCCGTCATCAAGTGCATGGTCTACTACAAAGAGAACTTCTGGAGGAAAAAGGGTACGCAGGAAGTGGGAAAACAGAGAGGATGCTGTAGTACATGTCTGTTTTTATATCTTTAACACTCTTTGATGTGTGTTACCAGGTTACTGTGGCAGTATGGTGATCGAGGAGGAAGGTGCTCCCATTGGTCTGACGCTGGATGACACGAAGCCTGACGGAAGTGTGCCCGCCATTATGGGGTGAATACAGAGCTCCAGCCAGCTCTCTGCAAAATGACAGAGATTATAGTTTGATAAGATACCATGCACTATTTTGCCAAAAGTATGTGGACAATGAAAGTCTCACAGACATTAAAGGGTCAGTCTGTCATTATTATATGGTTAATGGACCAAAACAAACAATGTGTTAAGGCCAAAATACACCAGTGACGAATGCAGCACGTCAAAACATACGCCCCTATTATTTTCAGTATATTTTCAATGGAGGCAGAAGTGACCATATTTTGGTGCGAGGGCGGAGCTGTGGAGGAGTGAAGGGTGAAGCTGAGGACACTATCAGCAGTCACACAAACTTTAAGCCTTGATAAAATGTTAGTGGGTGAGTTATATAAAAATTCAGCCCTGTACAGTTGTCATGAATGTTGTAATTAGCTACAGAGACCAAAACTGTTTTTGTACCAGGCTGTAAACATGTTTATTTCTGCTGTAAAGTTGGGCATTTTAACATGAGGTTCTATGGGGACTGACTTGAGTCAGCCTCAAGTGGCCATTAGAGGAACTGCAGTTTTTAGCCCCTCCCTCCAGACGAGCACGGACATATGTATGAGCCTCATACAGTGTTTCCCATACATACAGAAATTAGCTAACTAGCTGTCCCACAGTCCCTCCACCTCGCTCCCTGCTGCTCTGAACTGCTTCTCCAGGAGGCTATAGCATCTTGAATATGGCCATCACAAACCCGCCAGTGCCAGGTATCACAGCGGGCTGGAGGCCATCAGCAGCACTGGGTCTAATCTGTGTAACAGCAGCAACAGAAAGTTTGCTGATCTGATTTCTCATATTTCTGTATTTTGCTGTGTTTGGGACATTCCTGGGCATACCAGGTGAGGTCTGGCTTTATAAAAGGTTGCGACCGGGTGTCGACAGTGAGCAGCACACATGCAAGAAAAAGCTACAAAAAATCGCGGGAAAAAGCACGAGCGAGGCAAAATGCTTAGCGGACAAAACTGGGGTTGGCTTCCACTTTCACTGGCAATACTGTTTCCAAACAGCAGCCTACAGTTCCTGCATAATATACATTTAAGTTTCTCCTTCAGTGGAACAAAATAATAAAAACAAATCAGACCAAAAGTATGTGGACAGTGTGTTTACGTGTGGCCATGTAGTGCACACAGTGTCACTGGATTTGCCTGTTCACTCACACAGTGTTGTTTTCAAGCAGATAATGTTTCTCATTTCTCTCCTCCAGTTTCATCCTCGCCCGCAAGTGCAGAAAGCTATCAGTCTTGACCAAAGAGGAGAGGTAGGCACTCGGCGCAGACAACACAGCAGGTTAATACACTCTCACAGGCTGCAAGGGCGCTTTAATCCAAACTGTTGTCTTGTTGTGTTTAGGCTGAAGAAGATCTGTGAGATCTACTCCAGAGTGCTGGGTACAGAGGAGGCTCTGCATGTGAGTTTGGATACAGACTTTAGCACAGATTCACACAGCTGCAGAGGAACTGCATCACTGGTTAAACTGTTCATGTGTCCTCTTGTGTCTGTCAGCCGGTGCACTACGAGGAGAAGAACTGGTGTGAAGAGGAGTACTCCGGGGGCTGCTACACGGCATATTTCCCCCCAGGAATCCTTACCCAGTTTGGCAGGTAAGTTACACACACACATATACACAGGTGTGCATACTGTGTCCTGGCGCTCGATATCTTTAAATTGGACCAATATTTTGGTTAGGTCAGAAAACTCAGTTTTTTTCTAAATGTCTTCACTGTCTAGTGAAAACGTTTATTTCCAAGTTTGCTCATTTTCATGTTTTCAGAATCAGAATCAGAGTGTCTTTATTGTCATTGTGTCACTAAAATAACACAACAAAATTCGGGGTGCTGCTCCTGTAACATGCCGACAGTTAAAACCACATCCTCCGCACATTCAGCCTCACACTAGGAGAGCAGAGGTGCTGCATGAGCGCGTGCCGCCATCTCGCTCAAAGGGCAATTTATCTTTAAAAGCTGACTGTCAGGATCAGGACAAAAACGTTGACACTCAGGATTAAGGTTTTTAAATGTCTTTATTTATCATCAAATTTGTTCAGGTAGCAGAAACTCCAGCTTTAAATGAAATATGAATTTATATTGAAGAAAATTTAAAATGCAACACTTTTGTTTTTGCGCCTATTTTCACAGCTTTAAGTTAAAGATCTAAGGCTATTTTATACGTTTAATAAATATACTTCTCTCAAATTCTGGCTATAAATTGGTTAAAGACAGACTTTGAGCAGGTTTTGCTGCTTTTTTTGTCACTTCATGTCTCTTTTTTGGGGGGGTCATTTTAAGTCTTGCTGGTTGTGGTCAGTACGTGCTAATCTCAGGGACAATTTGCAGATGAAGGTCAGGGGGCCCCCTGACAGTTTTGGCCCCTTGGCCTGTGCCCAGTAGGCCTGTCCAAGAAGCCATCTACGTCAAGCTGGAACGACCATCGTTAAACAGAGGGGGTAACTTACGACACTACTTATCCCCCACCCACTCTACAACTTTTTTCATGCACACAGATCCTCTCAAATTAGTCAAATATTTGGTCTTAAATTCGTTAAAATCTGTTAGTGAGCATTTCTCCTTTTCCAAGACACTCCATCTACCTGACAGGTGTGACATATCAGGATGCTGATTAAACAGCATCATTACTGCTCAGGTGTGCCTTCAGATGGTCACAATAAAAGGCCACTCTTTAATGAAATGCCACTTTTAAACCACCTAAATCAGCTGCAACTCTTTAATCTCTCCTGTTCTCTGTCTGCAGGGTGCTGAGGGAGCCGGTCGGCAGGTTGTACTTTGCAGGCACAGAGACGGCCACAGAGTGGAGCGGCTACATGGAGGGGGCGGTGGAGGCTGGAGAGAGAGCAGCCAGAGAGGTCAGAGGTCACCTGGAAACACATGAGAGTAGAGTCGGCATGTTCTCTGTTTCAAGTGTTTGTTGGGAGCGTTAGTTTCATCATCAGGAGCAGGTTAATGTGGGGAAACAACAGCTGACACACCTGCTGTTCATGAGCTGGTGATGGTTTAAACCTCTTCCACTCCACTAGGACACTGGCTTTGTCGACTAGAGTGAAGATACTGGTGTCATATCAAGGAATCCACTTGTACCAATCATGTCATGCTGGTTGTCTTGAGGGGGTTAAATAATGCTCCAGATGTAGGCTAAATTTTGGAAAGTAAAAAACTGACATGGCCATGTTCACAGGGGTCCCTTGACCTCACACCTCAGAATACCTGGATGAAAAGTGGTTCTATGTGTACCCACGAGTCTCCCCTTTGCAGACATGCCCACTTTATGCTAATCCCTTGAAGGTTGGGGCAAAAACCATGCGGTATTGTATTTGAATATCTCAGAAGGTTTCTGCATACTGGGGTCGCTAAACAGACTTGGAATTGGATGAAATAGTTATAACTGGAAAGCTGAGACTCTTGTGGATTCAACAAGGCTGATTTTAATCATGTGTGATGACGTTAGCCCCCATAGCAGCCATTTCATTGTAGTAAAACCATTTTAAGACATTACCTCACTGTATAAAATGACCTCTACTGACTAGGATAATCACAGCCTCATGAAACTTTACAGCCACGAACTAGAGACCTTTCATTCAGAGGATGGGTGGCTTTCATAGGTATACTGACAGTAAGGGGGTTTCTGAGCAGTTTCCAGAACAATTCTTACAGAAATCTCCAAATGTCAGAGGTTTTTGACACTAAATCACAGCAGGGATTTTTCTGTGGTGTTCTTCAACATCTTGGTGTCTTAATGTGGTATTTTTGAGGGATCTTTGACCATTTTAATCAGTTCTCAAGTAGCAAAAAATGTCTAAATTTAGCACCAAATCTGTGTAACAAGTGGTATCAACCCCAAATTTTGCTGCAGTAACTTATATGAGACATAACTGAGCATGAGAATGGCCATCATATACTTCCATCATAATGTTCTGAGCCCCTGTAACTGTACGTTCAAACCAGAAACTTCCAAAGAGGCAAAGTCTCTCGCGGACACCCAAGAAGCACGACTGTCAAAAATATTTGTGGCAGCTTTGGTCGCTCTAGTCGCTCATCGTGTGAATCATTGAACGTTCGATCGTGCTTGTCGATTTAAAGGAGACGCAAAGCGGACTACTGGCTTGAAAGCAGTGTAGTTACTGCTTGCTGTTGTCCAGTCAAAAAGTTCATAGTTGGCCAACAGAAAGTTATGTTTGGTCAATGAAAACAGAAAACGTATGTCGTCGCATTCAAACCAAGCAAGGAAGACTTGCGTGCTACGTCGCAACATAAGCCTGCAATTCTCTCCTCTATTACTAACATTACACACTTTAAAACTCACCAGTAGGGTTGTCACGTTACTAAAATTTCAAACTCGATATTGATACCCAGGAAAATATTCAATACTCGATACCATTTTCGATACAGCAGCAAAAAATTAAGAGGCATGTCATTTTTTTAAATAAAGATCAGAACAGTAACATCAATGATAACAACAAAAAATCCCCCCAAAATAAATAACAACCAGAAACAAGATCTGTCCATACAAATGTATTTATCTACAGCCCTGTTTATTTTCTGTGCTTCTGGTGAATTGGCACCATATTTTCGTTGCTGATCAAATAGAGTTGGTAGTTTAGGCTCAGGATGCTCCTGTTTCGACCTCACTATGTGATCAGAGAACCAGGGGTCACGGGAGAAACCAAACGTTTTTTCAGCTTCAATCTGTGACTTTACAGTTAACATAACTTTCAGACACACATAATTGTGTTGTCCTGTTAAACTAACATTGTCTATTAATGTTACAGACGGGCATGACTGATAAAGTTTTCTGCTTAGCTCCCACATTAATGTTAGAAGTTATATTTCAGTTTGAGGCTGGCGACACCAGCTGCTCAGCTGCTAGTGAGGGGAGGGGCTGTACCTGCCGTCTGCAGCGTGCTGTGTTCACTTCACTAAATATTTCCAAAGAGCGCTTTTTCCTTTATCATTTTTGACCAAAACTGGCTGCTCTGGTCCTCCTGCAGCCACGCTGGCCATATTACAGCAACAGAAATGTGTGCATGCATGCACAGCGACGACAACAAGCCAGGTTGTAGCGAGGGCTCTGTGCCTGCCAGACGCTGCCTGCACAGCGCGTGTCCGTCCGACCCGTTGCGCACACCCGACAGGCACTGAGGTGGCGTGCACTGTTAGTATCGATACTTTTGTAAATTAGTATTGTATCCGGATACAGCATTTGAGTATCAATACTTTTCAGAGTATCGATACTTTTGACAACCCTACTCACCAGACCAACTCCGTCCATGACGCGTACCCAAGCCTCATTCTTTTTATTTTGGTCTCTGTAACCGAACAGCAACACATTATAAAGGACTGAGTGGGCGCGAACGCAAGCAATAAACTTTGTATCCATCGTCGGAACAAGTGTGCTGTATGAACCAAAGTTACATGGCTTGTTGTCTGGGACTCGCTTCATCGAAGCATGTCAGCATTCCAACTGGTTGTCGCCGAACCGCGTCAGAGCTCATTACCATAAAGTTAAACAAGTTTTAACTTCCCTCCGGACCCGCTCCGGTCTCTTTGGCTGCCCAAGACGCTCGGCTAACAACCAGGTCGCCCATGTCGCCAGGCTCTCATTGAAAGTGAATGACAGCCTCACCAAAACAAAATCTTTATTACATATTTATGACTAGAAAAACTTGACACTCAGTGCTGAGCTGCGTCTCAACTTAATTCCCAGCTACCACTGCTATGTGGCATAAAGTATTCGCCTGCTATCTCCCCATACAGATCTGCTGTCCCCACTAAAACAGCCAAAAATGGGTCTGTGGTAGGGAGGGGGGTAGTCGAAGAGGTTGAAGAAATAGTTTGACGTTTTGCTGCCAAGAGTTAAATGAGAAGACTGAATCTACTTTAATCTTTGTCTGTTAAATACGAAGTTACAGCCAACAGTCTGCCCCTGCAAACAGAAAATACACCTCTGTGTCGGTATCAGTAATACTTTCTGTATTGGTAGTATTGCTGTAGTTGAAGCAGGCATAGAGGTAATCAACGCTCCGGCTCAGAATTAAACTCCTTTCCCTTCTTCCAGCATTAGCATTACATGTTTTCATGTAGATTTGTTTGGGACAGATTTGACAGATCAGATTTGCAGGGTCACACCATCAAACTAAAAAGCATATCATGTTGACATTACATAAACCTTGATGTGAGTGTCCTGACTGATGTGTTCTGTTGCAGATCCTGTTTGCAATGAAAAAAATCCACCAGAATCAGATCTGGCAGTCGGAGCCTCCGTGTTTGGTGAGGAACATCACTTTTCGGGGGTTGCTGTTTCAGAAGTGTCATGAATAAATCAAACTCAAAAGTCAAATAAATGTAACCTCTGTCCTCCTTCTGTCCCTCCAACAGGAAGTCCCAGCACTCCCCTTTGTCACCAGCTTCTGGGAGAGAAACTTGCCTTCAGTCGGCGGTCTCTTCAAGTTCATGGGAATCTCCACCTTCCTGTCCGTGGCTGCAGCAGCCGGCCTGGTGGCCTACAAGAAGGGCCTCCTCCCCCGGAGTTAAACCGCCCACAGCCGTCAGCTCACTCTCACGAGGGCACATCTCAATAGACACTGTACTCTTGTTCTTCTAGTGCACTACTTTATGGCCCAGACTGCAAAGTAGTGAACTATGTCGGGTATAGGATGATGTAAGAAAGACTGTTCAGCTCACACAAAACACTAACGCACCATCGCTCTGTGCACTGTCTGTTCACTAATGAAAGAGAGAGTGAGACAAAGTCATGGGCTGATCAGAGGCAAAGGGACGGTAGTTTGAGAGGAGTGAAGACATTTAGTTTAAATCTACATTAAATCTGAGATTCAGATTGTCAAAACCAATGACGGAAAAAGAACAGAATCAATTCTTAAAATGAAATATATATATATAGATGTATGTATCACTGTCGGTACTCCACACATTGCCAACGACCCTTACATTCTTACATGAGGGTTTATTAACTCATCATGCTTTCTGTTTGTATGCATGCATGTGTGTGTGTGTGTGTGTGTGTGTGTCCAGTGTGTCTAATTACCTCTGCTGATTTTAGGTGCTAATTTATTCTGGCCAAGCAGCTGTAGCTGTTTGATGAGATCCAGTAACATCAGAATTAAATAGAGTTGTGCCATTGCCCGTCACAAAATCACAGAGGAGGTTCGAGGATAAGGCTGAAGATATTATATATTTTTCTTAATGTCAACAAATCCCATGAAGAGACAAATCAATACTTTTATTTTCTTACTTTAATGAAGTAGCTAGAGTCTTGTATATCTTCTTCCTCTGTGTCACGGAGCTCCGTCGTCGTCCGAAAACTGAAACACATCAGTGAGCAGCACTGTTGCACCGGCTGACATGTTCCTTCATTATGAAGAACATGGGCACTATTTTATGTCAGTCCAGCAGGATAATATGTCTAAGTATGCACAGGAACCATCCACCCACATGTGGAGTAACTTTAATACGTATGTTCCCACGCACGAGATTAATATTAACGTTACAAACACAACACTGCACAGCTTGCACAGCAGTCACTGATGAGGGTAGCTGCAGCCTCCCGGGGCTCATCGCTTTGCAAAGCGCGTGGATCCTGGACCTGTAGCTGGCTTCTAGCCTCTGTCGTAAGGTTGTAACGTCAATGCTAGCAGCAGTAAAGTCTCAGTAAAGATTCTCCGCTGCTGAGGCTTGTTCGCTTTATTGTTTCAAAAGCCTGAAAAATGCTGAATTCTAACTACTTTTGCTCACTGACACACAACATAAGTAACACAATATTGCTAGTATCACAATTCAGCGCCAGAAATGTTCATCATACACCGACCGTTTGGCCCGTGACATGCGCACCAAGCATCGGCATCCCAATGTGTTTGCCTCATAGTGAGTAGACACAGCCACAAAATGCATCTCAGGCACATTCATCAGTAAAAAAGAACCCAAAGACAAAGAAAGATCTGCTTCTTGTGTCTTCTTATTTTCAAGATTGGACGATAAATCATTAAAAAAAAGTTTGCACAGTGGGAACATTTGGGAACATATCTGCTACTTCTACAGCATTTGTGCTACAGTGGTAGTTTCTTGTTCATAGCGGGGGATAAGAGATCTTTCTCCATCTTAATCCTGAGTTCTGTTTAACAGGTTAGCCCGGGGCTATGAAACCTTATCCAGCAGCCTTGGGCTTTTGTAGGCTGCTAAAGGGCCGGGGCTGATGCCAAGGTCTAGTTAGTAACTTTAAAAAAATATCCAGTGTAAGGTTACGGTTAAGATCTGAACACAAGCTACACTGACATAGTGTTCACTCTCTGCTTAACAGGCGCATCCTGCATCAGAAAAGTACAGTTAAAACAACCAGAGAGAAAATAGAACAACGACCAAGAGTCAGGAAGAAGTAAAACCTTAATTTGACAAAAAAGGGGCTTATTTAGTAGGTATAATCATTAAAAAAAAATTCAACTCCTGTGGGAGGATGACTCAAGTCAATTTTATTTACATATCCAAGAATCAGACATTTGCCTGAAAGGCTTTAGTTTGTTTTAAATGAATCCTCTCTTGTGCCACAGATTCTTCACTAAAGCACCAAACCCATGGCTGAAAATAGTTCCCATCAAAAACACTGTTTACTCCTGTTTGAGTCTCATTTGCTTAAAGTGCCAGCACCCAGCTGTTACAGGAAATAACCCTTTTAAAAAACAATATTCTGTATTTGAGTTTAAAGATTTACATCTTCAGCAGGAACAAACAGACGAGGAGCCGACAGGGAAGTCAGAAGCATGGGATCTGTTGACAGTAAGAAAAAGAAAAATGCGTAAGAAGCCTCATCCTTCAATTCAAACTTGTATTTCGGGGTGATGTCGTGCTACTAAGCTGCTCTGTTATCTGTTGGTAAATGTAATGGAAGCACTCGAATGTATTTTTATTCAGACTAGATGACACAAACATTTTGATTTACAGATTTTTGACCGATATATTTTTGTCGTTTCTCATAAATTGGATTAATGCAAAGGGTCGTGCTGTCGCTGACGAAAACCAGCCCAGTCGCCAGCGGAAATTGGCATTGTACGTTTCCGCAAACCATTTTGCACATTTCATATGTGTTATATCAACATCTCTAAAGTGATGTAGAAGATGAGCTGACTCTGGGTGAGATGTGGAGGCGATGACGGATGACGTGACGTCTAATCAAGATGCCTGCTAAGCAACAAACAACAAATTTGGTTTTGATTTAGCGAGTCATTGCTGTGTCAAGCGGCTTTTTAGGCAAGAAAAAAGGTTGTTTATTAGCAACGTGTCGCTGTTTTTCTAGCAGAGATCGTCCCACCCAAAACCCCACACGTTAACCCCAGCACTGAAATGTGAACTTTAAACATATCGGCTACATAATAATGTACAAATGCAGCGTTGCCAGGTGGGAAATGTAGGATTATCATACCAGAGACTCAAAATTATCATATTTTGAGGGAAATTATCGAACATCAGTCATAACCAAAATAAAAAGCCTACTGATACACCATAAGCAGATGCCTTCAGGGCTCACAAAAAACTCTGGCATACTGATTACAACCACACATTCATGAAATGGTCAAATTATTGTACATTTGGCCTTTTTTTGGGATTATTGATTGTACATTGTACAGAGGGCCAAATTATCATACAAATATGATAATTATCGTACACCTGGCAACGCTGTACAAATGTAACGTATCTGTGGTTTGAAGAAATGTACAATGCCGACAATATTTCTGGCGACTGGGTTAAAATATTATCATTCCAGTTATTTTAGATCCAGGTGGCCGGCCTGCAGCTCCTCTGTGAAGTCCTGGATTTTATTGACTTACATTTTTGCAGCTATCAGATGTTTTATTGTATCGTTTACTTATAGGGAAACAAATGAGTTTTAAATCACACAAGACGTTGCTAAGGAAAGTTTTGATTTGTTAAAGAGCCTCTTGTTGAAATAAGGATAAGACAACAGATGATTAAATGAGGGATAATTCCCCGCAGACATTTGGAGAAACTAAATTCACAGCTGACTACTCGCAGTAATCGTAACTGTTGGCCACGTTGCAAGCAACAACAGCAATCCATGATGAGATGCACTTCGACGTTAGCGTATATTAGTCGGAGAAGGAGGCGTGTTTTGTTTCGTTTGTCGTAATATGATCTGATTTTGAGGTAGACGTGAAGAAAACTAATCAACACACGTCTGAATCTTAAAGAGTTCTTGTTAGTGCACGTGTTGAAGGGCATTGTGCTGTGTGTGCAGCTCTGTGTGCCCACTGAGAGAATCTGTGTCCCAAAGACTGGTGTGTGTGTGTGTGTGTGCGTGTGTGTGTGTGTGTGTGTGTATGTGTGTGTGTGTGTGTGTGTGTGTGTGTGTGTGTGTGTTTGTGAGTGTAGTTATCTGTTGTGCCTTATTGGAAGTTGTAGTGTTTTTGTCATTTCTCTCTCAAGTGCCTGTGTGACTCTGACACTCTCTGCCCTCGCCCCCCCGTCTCCCCTCCTGCCTGCACTGGAGGTCAGAGGTCAGATGGACCAGGTCATTGGTTTATCATCAGTAACCATCATTACACAGGGACCAGCAAAACAACCCCATGTCCCTCTCAGCATGTCCGGACTTTTTCATTTTCTCGCACCCCTCGTACCACCTGAGTGACGTCCTCAGTACAAACTTGACTCAGGTGTAGAAACACAGTGAATTATAGAGCTCAGACTGTTGGGTCGATCAAACTGCTTTTCTCCAGTGAAGCCAAGTCTGTGTGTTTTGTATTGTGATTGCAGTGCTTCACTGTCTGTCTCCTCTTGTTGTGTGATGTCCTCATGTCACTTTAGCCGCTTAACTGACCCCCCTTTCATCCCAGCACATGCACTGGATTTACACTCGACTCTAGAAGTCATGACTGGACAATGATCACATTTTAGAAATTTTCTCAAACAGTTTTCAGTGAACAAAGAAAGCCAGCACACTTTGTCCGTCCCTTCAAACTGCAGTTCAAGCACCACAACCCAGTCGCCTGGTGAAAATGTTGGCATCAGATGGTTCTGCAAACCGTGGATATGCTGCATTTGTACGTTTCATACGTGTCATATCATCATTTCTAAAGTGATGTAGTATATGAGCTGACTGTGTCACTGGGACATGGAGAGGGTGATGGGACTGTTCAACCAACAGTCCAACTTGGTACCAACAAACAACAAAACCAGTTGTTTTTTAGTGAGCCATCGCTGCATTTCCAGCAGCTTTTGAGGTACCATGCAAAAGTGTTTTTTAGCAGCTCACTGCTGTGTTTTCAGCAGATATTGTGCCACAAAAAGTGGTTGTGTTTTTTACAGAAATGGCACCGCATTTCCAGCCAGGATAGTGCCATGAAAAGCAGTTGGTTTTTATAATGACATTGCTGTGTTTCCAGTGGAGATTGTGCCACCTTAGACGTCACTGCATTTCCAGCCATGATGCTGGCCCTAAAAATGATTGTTTTTTTTTTTTTTTGTTTGTTTTTTTACAGTGATATCACTGCATTTCCAGTGTGGATAATGGCACCACACGCATTTTTTTGTGGCTACATCCCTGCATTTCCAGCCTAGATTGTGCCACGAGAAGTGGTTGCTTTTTATGGAAATGTCACTGCATTTCCAGCCAGGATAATGGCACATAAATAAGTTTATTTTTTACAGAGACATCACTGCCTTTTCAGCCAGGATAATGACATGAAAGGTGTTTGGTTTTTAAAGAAACATCACTGCATTTACAGCCTGGATGGTGGCACTATAAGTGTTTTATTTTTACAGAATCATCATTTCCAGCCAAGATTGCACCTGGAAAAGTTGGTATTTTAAGCCAGAAATAATCTTTTCTTAACTATAACCAAGAGGCTCTTGTTCTGGTGGAGATTGTACCATGAAAAGTTTTTTTCCCTGAGACATCACTGCATTTCCAGCCATGATTGCCCTCTCAAAAGGAGGTATTTTAAAACAAAACATGATCTTATCCTAACCATATCCAAGGGCTTTTGTGCCTTAAACTAACCACGCATTAATCACAGCATTATTTAAATGTAAAGTTTCAAAGTATCCACTACAGAATAACATGCAAATGTAACATACCCATGGTTTGCAGAAATGTACAATGCCAACATTTATTCTGGTGATTGTGTTGAGCAGACACGATGTATTCATTATCTGATCCTTCTTCATTGTTTCCTGGAGACCTGAGACTGTTCCTCCGTCCCTCTCGTCCTTTTGTGCATTCGAGCCTCTTTAACTTCCTGTTCTTTGATGTCTTTGATTCCTCAAACAAAGCTGGTGATATTTAAAAAGAAAAAAATGTGAAATAAATCTTTTACTCGTCTTCAACGGCTCTTGTGTATCATTTTAAGTATTTCTGAGTTGAGGAGGTTCACGATAGGAAACACATACATTTACAGGCCACTTTGTTAGGTACACTTGTTCAACTGCTCGTTAACACAAACAGCTAATCAGCTAATCATCCAATCACGTGGCAGCAATTCAATCCATTTAGTCATATAGACATGGTGAAGACGACCTGCTGAAATTCAAATGGAGCATCGAATTGGGGAAGAAAGGTGATTTAAGTGACTTTGACTGTGGCATGTTTGTTGGTGCCAGACAGGCTAGTCTGAGTGTTCTGCCTCAAGTTGATGTTTACTTGAGATGTTTGGAAAATGTTATGGAACAACACGACATAAATCCGACTAGAATTGCATCTTTGGTTTTTGCAGATGATGTGGTTCTGTTCGCTGTGACCTCCAGCATGCACTGGGTTGGTTTGCAGCCGAGTGTGAAGCAATCGGGATGAGAGTCAGCACCTCCAAATCTGAGGTCATGGTTCTCTGTGGGAAACCGGTGGAGTGCCCTCTCTGGGTTGGGGGAGAGTTACTGCCTCAAGCGAGGGAGTTCAAGAATGTCAAGGTCTTGTTCAAGAGTGAGGGCAGAATGGAGCATGAGATGGATCTGCGGTTTGGTGTGGCTTCTGCAGTGACACAGGCGTTGCGCTGGACTGTCATGGTGAAGAGGGAGCTGAGCCGGAAGGCGAAGCTTTCGATTTACTGGTCCATCTACGTCCCAACCCTCACCTATGGTCATGAGCTCTGGGTAGTGACCGAAAGAATAAGATCGTGGATACAAGCAGCAGAAATGAGTTTCCTCTGTTGGGTGTCTGTCTGGGCTCAACCTTAGAGATAGGGGGAGGAGCTCGGGCATCTGGAGGGAGCTCGGAGTAGAGCCGCTGCTCCTTTGCATCAAAAGGGGTCAGTTGAGGTGGTTCAGCATCTGATCAGGATCCTCCTGGGCGCCTCCTGTTAGAGGTGTTCTGGGCACGTCCCACTGGTAGGAGGCCCCGGGGCAGACCCAGAACATACTGGAGGGATTATATATCTCATCTGGCCTGGGAACAGGAGGAGCTGGAAAGTGTTGCTGGGCAGAGGGACGTCTGGTGTGCTTTGCTCAGCCAGCTGCCCCCTCGACCCGGCCCCGTATAAGTGGAGGGATGGATGACATGAATATCTGGACAATAATTTGGGGCCTTCCTTTAAATAGCTGTTGATATATTTCAGTCCAAAGGTGGACTGATATCACCATCCCTGGAGCTGTGATTGAAAATATAACAGTTCTCTGAGACTGTATCACACTCATGAGCAGCGTTATCTAATTTACAGTGAGCAAACAGCTGGCAGCAGATAATTTGCCAGAAGTGGGTCGTAGTGGAAAAGCTGCAGCCAAAGGTTATTAAGACAGATGGATAAGTGATTTGCATTAAACTCACATTTAGTGTAATTTTCAAAACAGCCCTCCAGCCTCACTGAGACCCTTTTGTACAGTGTGTGTGTGTGTGTGTGTGTGTGTGGGCGCATATGTGCATTAACTGAAGCCCATAAAGATTTTGGCAAAGCCTCAAAAAGGTTCAGATGTAGAGCGCTGCCGGCCACACAACGGCAGAACTGAGTTAATTTCTTAAGAGACGAGACAGAAGCTCCAGAGCCAACAATACTGAACCACGTCTACGTGTCAGAAACTCCAAATATGTAACCTTTCATCCTGATTTACCCAGATAATCTGCTCTCTGAGACAAAACACACTGAAATTTTTGTCTAGTGTGTGTGTGTGTGTGTGTGTGTGTGTGTGTGTGGCTTCATGCCAGGACCTCTGCTGCGCCGTCCTCTTTCATCTCTTCTGTATTTAATTTAATCTCCCCTTTGAGCTCCTCACTGCAGGGCCATTCACATAAATTCAAGAATTGTAAAATCAATATAAATCATGATAAAACGATGTCAGTGTTGAAATAATGTCTTCCTACTGTTGGGAAAATGTGTTCCTGAGTACCAGTAATTTTTCTGCATTATGAGTATTTTATTTTGATACTTTAAGTCTGATAAAACTTACACAGCCAACTCTTGTGACATTTTTAATGGAGGCCTTGAGGGGTAAGTTTGGTACTTTTCAACCTGGACCTTATTGTCTCGAGTTTTTGTGTGTAAGTCACAAATGAGAACAATTTTTTTTGAAAATGCTCCAGTATTAAGTAAGACTGTCACAGTGTTATTTAACAGGTGGACTCTTGTGTCTGTGTTGTGTTGATATGAAGAGGCCCAGACCGTGGATATCTTTGGAGGCGATCTCCGTTTACTCCTGAAAACTCTCAGATCAAGAGGTAAAAACAAAATCCTGCGTCAATGATGTCGTGAAGTGTCAGTCATCCAGGTCATGGTGATCATAAGCGCTATATCGTAGACAACTGGACTTGCTTGAGTTCCTTGAAGACGTGTCATGTCTCATCCAACAGGCTTCTGGTTTTATACTCAGTGTGGGTCACATGAGAGTTGTTGACCCACACGGCCATCTTATGTGTTGTTAGGGTTAGATGGGTCCAGATGAGAATGGGTGTTAAGTCATCTGGGAAAGATGAAACAATGAAACGTCTTCAAGAAACTCAAGCAAGTCCAGTTGCCTATGATAGAGCACTTATGATCTCTTAATTACGACCATATAACTCAAGCCCCTACTCAAGTTAAAGGGATAGTGCACCCAAAAATGAAAATTCAGCCATTATCTACTCACCCATATGCCGATGGAGGCCCTGGTGAAGTTTTAGAGTCCTCACATCCCTTGCAGAGATCGGCGGGTGGAGCGGCTAGCACACCTAATGGCTGACGGCGCCCCAGACTAACGTCCAAGAACACAAAATTGAATCCACAGAGTATCTCCATACTGCTCATCCATAGTGATCCAAGTGTGCTGCAGCCCTGACATAAAAAGTTGTTTGGAAAAACGTCATATGAACTCTGTTTTTAGCCTCACTGTAGCCTGTAGCTCTGACTGCTTCTCTGTGCTCCGCGCTCACGTGTGCGCGCTCAGGGTGATCGGTGATGCACGGTCTCTGAAGAGCAGCAGTCTCGTCAGTACTGATGTCCAGATTCTCAAGTGCAGGCATCGCCAATTCCCAGTCTGAGCAGCAAAGACTTTCCTCATTCTTTGGCATTGCTTTGCATTTGAAACATCTACACCACCAGGTTTCCAGTGCTGGACTCCGGTATTCTGCGGCTGGCTGAGGGTTAGGCTCATGAGCTGAGGCGGCTGCTTCGTCCAGTAGCCTGAGTTCGTATACTCGGGCTCAAACAAATACGGTTCAACAAAGAAATGCTGTTCCTCCTCAGTTTCAAAGTCTTCAGACATGTTGGGCTGTACTTTGCTAAAAGACCGTAGTGCAAATTATCTTTTAGCTCAGGGTGAGCAAAGCTTGTGCTTTCTCTGGTCTCGCGCAGGCGCGCACACGTGAGCGCGGAGCACAGAGAATCAGTCAGAGCTACAGGCTACAGTGAGGCTAAAAACAGAGTTCATATGACGTTTTTCCAAACAACTTTTTATGTCGCTGCTGCAGCACACTTGGATCACTATGGATGAGCAGTATGGAGATACTTTGTGGATTCAATTTTGTGTTTTTGGACGTTATTCTGGGGCGCCGTCTGCCATTAGGTGTGCTAGCCGCTCCCCCTGCTGATCTCTGCAAGGGACATGAGGACTCTAAAACTTCACCAGGGCCTCTGTCGGCATATGGGTGAGTAGATAATGGCTGAATTTTCATTTTTGGGTGCACTATCCCTTTAAGTGACAGGAATATGTTAGCGTATTATACAATAAGTTTAGCCTGAAAAATGAAGTCATAAACAGCGCTAAAACAAAATTACTGTGGAAATAACTACAAGAGCAATGTCACAAAAGGGGAGAGGTAAGGCGGGAGACACTCCTCTATAGGTGGGATACCCCTAAAGGTGAGTATCAAATGTTTTACATATTGACAATGGAGGCCTGAGCGTGTCAGGTAAACAACTGCACAAGGACTCCCGCACACTATCTAACTTGCAATATATAATTTATTTGCAACGTTTCGGTACTAGACCTTCATCAGGCAAAACCTTGTTTTAATAGATGTGCAAAGTGATTTCCTAGGTAATAACTGAAACTAAATTATGCACATATGTGTACAATTTGTTATATTGTTTCCTGTTTTACTTTGAAACTCCCTTCTCCTCTCGTTTCAGATCACTTCACTTCCTGCCCCTGTGTGTTTTCCCTCCCTTTTAATGACTTCACCTGTGTCTGATTGTCTGTCCCGCCCTGATCAGCCTCACCTGTGTCTCGCCATCCTTCCCCTCACCACAGTATTTCGTGTGTGTCTTGTTTCTCTCTTGCCAGTTCAACTTAGCTCCTTGAGTGTGTAGCGTTCCAGCCTTTTGTTTCCCTGTGTCCTTTTCTTGTTTTTTTGTATTTAGCTTGTTGATTGACTCTGCCTCATCCCTATTGGGTTTGTTTGCCTCCACTGAACCTAACTTTTTACCTGAACTCTCTCCAGAGTCGTGCGTTTGAGTCCACTCTCACCTGGTTCACCAGTTGTTACACATATAACCATATAAATGAGCAAGCACTTTATCTCAGCACACATACATGCAGTTGGATCATAATATCCTCTTCTTCCTTTTTTCCAAATGTAACTTTACTGAACAGTACACATAGAATAAGATGCAAATAAAAATGCTGATTTGACTATAAGAGTGTATCTTAGTGTGTCACATCTCTGCAGTGGAGACTTCTTCCTTCTTCTCATGCATAAGGAGCTGTTTCTCTGCAATAATGAGGCTGTAGAAAATATTGCTGGGTGTTGCTCAATTTTCTGACATCATCAGACATTCAGAATAATAATGAGTGGTTCAGGTTCCAGCTGAATTTGAGGTATTTTAGATATAATTTAAAAACAGTGATCCAGTCTGTCTTCAATTTACACTTCCTGTCCATAAAGGAGCAGGACGAAGCAAACCTGTCTAGTTCAACCCCTGTC